TACCTGGGCGGGTGCGGCCGGTCGCCGGAGGGGTCGGGGTCGGCGGCGGGGGTGGATTCCGGCGGGGGTCGGGGCGGCGGCGGCAGGGGACGGGGGGGACGGAGGGGGCGGCGGCGACGGCGTACGGTTGGGAATTAGGTCGAGTGGGGAGGAAGGGAGGGCCGGGAGGGGAACAGGTGGAGTGAGGGGGAAGCTTACTAATGGCGCACCACGTGGTAGTGCGCCATTACTAGTTAGAACTAGTAATGGCGCACTTCGGTAGGATGCGCCATTAGTACGTATGCAAAAATGAAAAAAAATTATCACTAGTGGCGCATCTTTTTTGTGGTGCGCCATTAGTGTCTTCCATACTAATGGCGCACCACCAACTGGTGCGCCATTAGTATATAGTAGTGGCGCACTACTTCCCTGGTGCGTCATTAGTGTCAATCCTATCTATAACCCTTTTCCTAGTAGTGGAGGCTGCGCGCGAGGCCGGCGCTCGGCGGAGCTCCGGCGGTGGCGACGCCAACGCTACCCGCGCTAGGGTTTCCGGCGGTGGCGACGGCTGCGGGGGGGGAGGGGGGGTCGCGGCTGTACAGCGGGGAGAGCGGGGCGCCGGTGTGCGCGTCCATGGGTGGCGCCGGCGCCAGCGCGCGCGGGGCGTGGGAGGAGGAAAGGAGAGAGTGCGGCGCGAGCGGTCGAGTGTGCCGCGCGCTGTAGCAGGCGCCCGAAATACGCCGCGCGGGATGGCGTTTTCGACAGCGCGTCCAACTCGGTATAGCGCGCGCGCCATTTTTGCGCGCCCGCTGGAGCGACCCGCCGCGTTACGCGCGCGCTAAAACCGACGAATTTGCGGCGCGGCGCTAGTTTAGCGCGGCTGTTGGAGATGCTCTTATCCAGGTTCTCAATTGCTTTCGACACTAGTTTTGTTAACTTTAACGAATAAAATCAAATCCGTTTGTTGTCCTATGAACCTGTTGTTCTTTGTTTCCTTCAAATTATTCGACAAAGCAGAATTATTAAAGCATCCTCGTCATCGAACAAACACTCATCTATGCCATTTGATCATGAGAACTGACCACTCTGTTTTTTTCTGAAGGAAGAGATGCTGTCCGCCTGTCCTAGTGATGTACAGTAGTATATGGTTCTGTTTAACACTTCAGAGAGTCTAATTTTACTGTTTCTTTTCTTCATAATATCTCCCCATGTCTCTCGCAACAACTGAAGGAGATTGTTTTCTCCTCATCAAACTGAAGCTCCGGTCGCTATATACTCTGATCGGTCGGAGCATGTGGAGGCGACCATATTGAGGACGTGCGATGTGCGTTTTTGATTCAATAACCCATCTACTTGTTGCTATCTGAGACGCGCACCAGTTGATCACAGGAAGAGCATCACTAAGACATGTTCAGTTTCGAACGCCTGAAAGTAACGTTGGTTTGGAGAACATGTTGTCTGTTCTGTTGCTTGGATTCTGCAGACTGTTCTTTACAGGTATAGCCAATGGAGTGGTGCTTCGGTACACTGCACTTTCAGTTCACTGCACTGTACGTCTTTCCCTGCATCACTGTCTTCGTCCATAGCCTATTGCGCCACTTATCCAGATTCTTAATTGCTTACGACACAAGTTTTGTTTGCTTTATCGAATAAAATCAAATCAGTTCGCTGTTATATGGACCCTTTTGTTCTTTATTTCCTTTGAATCATTCGACAAAGCAGAATTATTAAAGCATCGTCGTTATCGAACAGAGTTCATCTATGCCATTTCACCATGGCCAGGATAGCTTCCAGCCTCTACATCGGTTGATGCACATAGCCGGTGAAAAAGAAGTTCTATGTAGTACCGGTTCTTGATTGAATTACTACTATTCTTGGGATGAGTGTTCCTGTTTTCGTTCTTCTTAGCCTGGTCTCATGCATGAGTGAAAATTTCAGGCAACTCTGATACTACTGTTCTTTTTCTTCATCTCTCT